CAAAATCCAAATATGCTTAATGCAGAAAGTAAATAATCGCATATTTTTATACACTGCTGAAAAAACGTAAATTGAAAGAGCTTTCTTCGTACTGCATAGTTCCATGCGGCAAATGCATCTCAAATTAGATTGCTGCTTAATATATGTATAAATTATAACCGGTCTCGGCGTGGTACAAACCAAATTTTTCTACGAAACGTTTTATCGTGTAATTCCTCGTTTATTGACCATATATGTACAGATTTATCTATTCCACGTGCTTGATAAACCTTTTGTACTTGTGAACTTTGCATTTTATCATTCTGTACAATATCTTATCAATGTTTGCCGTTCTTTATGTTTGTTTGTTTGCTCAGTTGTAATGTTTAACTGAAATTCCGTCACCTGATTTCGTGAGGCATTATGTAATACATGATCGGTATTTCGAATTTTATTTCGTCAAAGAGGGAGTTAGGAATCCAGATATCTTATAAAGATGAGGAATTGCTAGATATGATTGTTATTAATATCCTATGCCAATACAAATAATAAGATGCCACTGGCATATTTATTATTCTCACTTCGAGACAGATAGTATACGAAGTTCATTATGCCCGATGACAAGATATGAGTTAGTATCGGATATGTTCCGGGCTGATTACAGCTGCTTGAATATATATTAAGCACAATTATTTTCGAGCCGAATGCAAAATAAGTAGATAGACAACAATTCCAATATTTTTGTATTATTGTTGCGTATGAAAATGTTACACCATTAGTTCTCAAAGGGTGATTAGCTAAGTGCGCCCCGAAAATTAACAGAATTGTGTAAATATATTGTTCATATATTATCAAACAAATATATATATATATGATTGAATATTTTACGTATTGTATTTAATACAAATGTTTTATTGTTTTATTTTAAATGTGTATATGAATCAATAAATTCACTTTACCTTTCTATGTCGTTTACTTTCTGTTACGAAGTGTCTGCCTGCCTCTATTGTAACGTAACAATAGAGGTAGGCAATACTCTCTGCAGATTCGCGAGCCGAGTTTAGCAAACATTAGTGTTTTTTTAGTATTTCTAAGGAAAATCAGGTAGACATTAGGAAGAACAGTTGATATTTTGCCTTTATTCCATAGGGTACATGTTTACAAACTTTAAAAAGCATAAAGTACACATTACCGATCACGAAATTGAGTTGTATTTAAAGGAACATTTTTTTTTCGTGTAAGTGCGCCGTGGGTTCTTTTCCTGATACTTTAGCGCCGCACAAACAAAAAGTTTGGGAACCGCCGTACCACACGATTTGATTTTTTATACATTAGGTATTCAAACTTCATTCTGACGTTGATGAATTTGACCTCCTCTCGTCGCTACAATCTTCGGCTCGAAATGCGAGTAATATTTCAGTTGCCCACATATATTAGTCACATATTAACATAGTATGGTTAGTAGTATGACTATTTTTACTTTAAAAACGACAAACGATTTCCATAATAAATGTATCGTAGGGTCGTACACTATCCTGTACATGTACATTATGTACTTTCAGCATTGGTGATAAATTAATGACTGTGCGTGCATGCAGTTTAAAATTTTGAGTTTGTTGGAAATCCATCGGTTATTATTACTTATCGATTTTAATAGGTCAGTATGTTGATAGATATTTGTCTGTCTGTTTGTTTGTCTGTCTGTCTGTTAGATGCACGCAATATCTCACGAAAGCGAGATTGAATCTGCTCCTTTTGCATGTGCATTCATCATATGTCGTACCAGAAGCCTATTGATTTTGAATGAATTATGTCATATAATTAGCGATTTATTAATTAATTAGTGATGGGACACAAGGTGTCACTATGGAGTAAGAGCGCTGTTTTGGGGATCACCTAACTTTCGATCGATAAGTCTTCGGTCTCTGACCGATATTCACGTATTACTATATTATAATATATTTGAAACCTCTAATTGGAAAGTTGTTTTCATACCCAAACTGAGCTGGTAACATCACAAATTATCGTAATTATCTTCTTAAAACTATCTTATCACCTTCAAATGAAAACTTGTAATTCCCTGTGCAACTTTCCCACTGATAATATGGATACAACGCCTACCTGACCGCAGCCCTTGATCAAAACAATGCGTAGTTGAAAGTTCAGAGATTTCGACAAAAAAAAAATCGAATCAATATAAATTGCAGAAATTTGCGGCAATAAGATGAACTCTAAACTTTACTCTTACCTTTGTATCGGTACCGGTATACTTACTATACTACTGTTTATTTGATACCGGTACCGTGTTTCCCCGGAAATAAGACCTACCCTAAAAATAAGACTTAGCCGCAATTAGAAATATATTAATATAGGCCTTCCTCTAAAAATAAAACCTAGTCGACCTGTAATTTGTGAACCTAATCCCTTGCAAGACATTCCAGAAGATGATGATATGGTTTTTGAATAATCTATGTTTAGCAGTTTTTCTTTTAAAAACGTGTTATTTATAAGTAAATGGATATCGGTTTTTACATTTTGTATATTTGAAAATCTCATATTTCGCTAGGTTGTAATTTTGTTTTTGATAAATGAAAATGAAATACATCTCCCGAAAATAAGCCCTAGTGATGTTTTTCGAAAGAAAATTGAAATAACACCCTTTCGGGGAAACACGGTACAGTAGTTAAAAGTTGGTTTGATTAAGTTGCGCTGTTTTGTTTTCCCCTTTGTCATCCTGTTTCGTTTTCCTGAGCGGAGATTTGCGATTCACGGTGAGGCAGACATGGCCGAGCTTCATGTATTGAAAGATTAGTCAAATACTGAAATAGGTACCGGTATCGGAAATGACATGGTACGGTACCGGTATTGATTGGGAAGTGCGCGGCGGTGTGGCTCAACGGGCTAAGCGTTAGGAATACGCTCGCCACCGCACCTCTAATTACTCTGCGTGGGTTCGCAGGTTTGAATCCCATGTAGGGATGGTTATGTGCGAGAGGATTGCTGGACTCCTCGCCGTCGTTGGGTGGTTCACGTAACCGCTGGTCGGTTACGGCTTCCTCCACCACCAAGTCCATGCTTCCGAAAACAAACAATACAGTAAAAACTAATCCCATACCCGACCTGGAATGGTAACCGGACGAGAGGCCGTGGTTCGCCATATGGATAAGCCGTCTTATCGGCTTTCCTCTCCCCCGGGATAAATATGTAAATCCTATCCTATCCTACCGGTATTGATTGGGAAGTGTTTTTACTTACGGTAAATTTCGGAACAGACAAAGTATATAATAAAGTCATGTATGGGAATTTTGAGGTGGCGATATTCCGCTGTGCTACATTAAACTGACGATGCTTTAGAGGTTTAATCAAATCATTTTTCATTTTCATTTCGTACAGCTGAGGGTTAAGTGGTTTATATTTCACGTTCGGGTTTCTAATGCGCAGTTGTGGATGGAACTTGTGGGCAACGACTAACATTGTATTGTAAAATGTAAGTTCTTTTATGAATGGTCAAATTGGAAATCTATCGGCAGATTAAAATGACTGAAAGAGCAATAAACCAGGTAAATCTCAAGCCAGCAAGTGTTGCCAAGCACCGTAACTTCCAAGTATTTTTTCGTTTATATTCTTTGTTAGGCCTACACTGTCTGACTGTTACCTGACCTGTACATGAGGATGTACTTTCATGTCGCATGTTTAATTTTGGGGTCTCATGTAGTTTCGTACCTAACATACTTCTTGTGAGCGTAGCATGACAATTTTGTCACATGCCAATCCTAACCCCTAACATAATTTTGGGATGGCGTAGTCAGATGGGGGTTAGGATGGACATATCAAAAAATTGTTATGCTACGCCCACTACTGCACTAGAAGTGAGTTAGGTACGAAACTACACGAGACCTGAATTTTGTTGTCAGCATGGATGTTCAGAATGTATTTGATATTGTGGTTTTGCTGGTTTCTGGTATTGGATTTGCTTATACGTATTGAAAAGCTGTGGTTGGGCAGGGCAACACATTGTACAGTTGTAGCTAAGCAGCAATTCCAAACAGTTTCTTCAGCTAAGAATTTATACAGATACTAAAACATGTTACTGAAATAAGACAATGGGAGTGGTCAATCAAAGTCATAAGCATGAGAAGGTCAGCTCGACTAGCTTGAAAAGATTGGGTGACAGTTGACAATGACACTCATAAGCAAATCGCTGACTCGCTTATTTCAAAAGCAAGGTCATCTTCCAGCACTTTTGGCAACACCAACACCGGTGTGATCTTCATTTCAATACTAAAACTTCAAAAAAAATTTGGCGAATTCAATTGATGGCTACTTTTTTTGAATTTCATTGCATGTTTCAATATTGTAGTCAGTCGTTCAGGTCCTTGTTAGAAATACCTTGCAACCCCCTTCATTTTCTTATTAATTTAACCATCCTGATATGTATAAAGGTCTTGTGGTCTGTGGAGTTAGAGCCGGAGTCATATTTTCGAATCCTTCAGAGTCATTGTCGAAATATCAGACTGTCATAGTCATAAAACTATATAACTATATACATGAATCCATGTTTTTGTTATCAAATTTTTTCTTTTTGTGTTTGAGACTGAAGTTTTTGCAACCAGGAATATATTCGATTATTTCCTCGACAGCCATGCTTATTACAAACAAATTCATTCATCAGATCTTTTACTTCTTCATCTTAAATTGATCAATGGTATTGAAAATATATAAAGATGTGTATGATTAAATTTTTCTATTCAAATCTCGGGCTAATCGACAATCTTACAATTTCAGACATATCAAGGTACTTCATTACTATATAAAATCAAAATTTCACAACAAAAATTGTTATTTTTTTAAATATCGCAGAAATTTTGGATATCTGGATTCCTAAAATCTCTACCATTTATTCTGAATTTTGATTAAACCAAATGTTTGATTCACCATTAAATTGCTCTGTAAAATTTGGACTTTCTACATTTTCACTAATCTTAAACCATCTCTTTTATTTTCTAATTTTTTGATAACAGCTAACAAAGATATCAGTTAGATTATGTGTTGTTCTCTTTTCAAACAAGTTACAAATTTTTGCTTGGAGCAAATCGTGAAATTCTAAGTCATCCATTCACGGACCTCTCGCATTATCCACATCCTATGCAGTACAAGGAAGATATTGCTAAACGCCGATGCTGGCTTCTCAACAGCCGGATTTGCAAAGAAGCAAACTACCTTCTTTTGGTTTGTTTTTATTCATTATTTTCTGCTGATTTTATATTGTATCATTCATAAACTGTTTGGAGAGTATATTATCTTACGCGCAGGGAGAGAAAATTTCAAATTGGGTTTTTAAAAATGTCTTTATTTAAATTGACTATTTCAAGAATTTGCTTTGAATTAAATTCAAAATTATCAACAATGCTTAGGTGTTTCAACTTTCAATCAACTTGGGTTGGCCACGGTGCAAATACTGATTTAACAAAATGAAAATCATGCAATTGGCGAGTAAATTGCTTCCTTCATTCTCACTTACCATGTTATTATGACCATTGCACCAATAGTAAGAAATTTCCTGTGCTCCAATTTTGATTTGTAACATTTACAAGACAAGAAAATTTTTGCGTCGATTGCCAATTATCCCTAAACATTTTGATGAATAATCAAACATGAGCCATATTAATCTGAGCTTTATAGAAGTACATTATTAATAGTTCAGGCTTGGAAGAATATGTTTTGATTGTATCATTTCATGCTTTAATTAATAAAGGTTTCATGTTTACTGTCAAATCCTCTTTTTACTCATTTGAATATTTTAATTTTTTGACTTATTCAAAGATAAAAGGATACTCCCATTGGAGTCCCGTAGTGTGTGTACCAGGTTAGGGTTAGGCCATAATTTCATTCCGATTTTCCTTATTTTGTTTCATTACGAGTTCGTGGACTGTCTGTGTTAGCTAAGTGAATATGCCCCCTGCCCATAGGTTTCAGTCTCTTTACACAACTTGATGTAAAGTGGGCGAACAAAATTAGTTACCTCCATAAGCTCCATTCTCTATATTGGTACACATACCTCCAGAGCGCCCAAATTCTTATACAAACTCTTTGATTACTATCAATATACCGTCATAATAAAGTAATCATAATGTGTCTTTGTTTTGTAGCGGACCATTTCAAGAAAGGAGTGTTAGGGAGAGGGAAAACGGTGCCATCAAAGAAAACAGATACTGCTAGCAGGATTAGTACAAATAGTCGAGAAATTTCTCCCCAACCATTGAGCGATGTAAATTCCCTTCGAAAAGACCTTGTAACTGTTCCTGTCATTCAAACCAATGGATTTGAGTCGAAAAAATCTCAAAACATATCGGTCATCAGAGCCCTGACTCCACAAAGTTCAGGTTTGTAATTTGCATGATATTCAGGATTCAGCGGTAAATACCTTTGCTACATATTTATCCTAATTAAGATTACTTTCTCTTTGTGACAGAATTTAAGTAATAACATACAGGTGAATCATTGGCGTTGTGGTAATGAACAAGAATGAATAAACCAAATTTCAGAATTTATTCTAGAGCAGTGGTTCTGAAACTTTTATGTGCCACTGTTCTTCGGCCCCTTCCATACATCATCATCGTCTATCAGCAATAAAAAAAATGATAAGTTACAAAGGAAAATTAATTGAATATTAAACTAATCATAGTATAAAGTAATTTTTAAGGAGATGTGCTTTGTGAGTTGCTATTTTGGAATAAGAGTTTTGAGTATAGAATATTTATATAAAATTTAAATAGGGCCATGCCCGTCAAAGAACACACATAACTCAATGAGTTTAAATTTGGAAAATCATGAATGGTAATATTAACATGATTTTTTGTTCTCTCCAGTTAAATTGCTCGAAAGGGCGACTTTCAGAAAGAAACTTTCCTAAATGATTCCCATAATCAACAATTCCAAATGAAAATTTGGAATATATTCGAATTCCTGATTTGGTATGCTTTTTTGGATATAATGTAAATTTTCCATTGATACCTCTGTCATCTTTTTTAGTTTTATTGGTGATCAATTTTTTAAAGTCATTGCTTAAATTCAAATTCACAACTCGTTGATATGCAAAATGCTAGTGAGTTTTTGTTATTTTATTATTTGGTATTAGTTTTCGCATAAATGTTGCTTGGATATGCTATAATACATTTTTAACTTATACTGTATCACTCATAAATTCATTGTCACTTGGTACTCTTTAAGTACAATCTATAGACATGATGTCTACCACCTTTCAAAAATTTTGTGAAAATCCTCACCCTAAGAGAATTGTTATCAAGCTAGTCTCATAATTAGTAATTTCATGCAGTGTAAAATCTATCATATAAGTGTGAGAAATGGTCTCGTTTACGTAATAGAAAAGAGAAGAAAAATTATTGCCTCAGGCTGGTTATGTCGAGGATGTCATCATGTAATTGCTGATGCAGAGCTTTAAAGTTCTTTATAATGTTATGACTTTGACTGTCTGAGTGACTTTTACAGAAGGTTAGGGAAGGATATAGCAGATTAGGAGGTTTAAATTATAGTAACTGTTTATTGATAGTTTCAGTTGCGTATTGATAAAAAAAAGTTGAACTTGTTGAAAAATAGTGTATAATGTTAAGCTTTGAAATATTCATACAAATAAAATTGACCTTGTAGCAAAATAAAAATTATACATAATAAAAATATGATGACGTCACCGTAATTAAGAACACTCGGATCAAGCATGGATAATTTCAACTCAAACATTTTGAATTTTAAAATTGGTTTTGTTCACATGCAGACCACTATGAAATACTATCGACCCCCCAAAATACATTTAATTTAGCTATAATCCCAAATTATGATACAGGGCACCCCTTTATGACCAGGCCGATCCTATAGAGTTAAACTTTTTTAATAAATACGGTGTATATTGGGCTAAGTGATTCAAGTGTCTTGCTCCACTCTTGCTACAGCATCCTTGCAATATATGCATACGGATCAAAAGCATAGAAGAAGGATAAGTAGTTAGTCTCGCAGAAACCAAATAATCAGCGTATATTGGGCTATCTTTAAATTTTCAGTTAATTGCAGAATTTTTTTGAGTCTATGTCAACTGACATCAAAAGTATATGAGTAGTCCAAATATTTTGCATCAGCCTTTCACAAATTTTCTTCTGTGACCATTTTTGACTTCCTCAGACTACGGTAGTTTGAATATACAGATGGAAGTGAGTAACACTGCTCAACCATAATTATATGCCTAGTATAAAAGCATATGAATTCAAAATTATTTTTGCGTTTTTTTTATATCAATAGTAGGCCTATATGTATATCCCATCTAATTTTCCATGTGCAACCTATTTTTAATTAAGCATTTGAGTGATATTTAAATGCCAACCCCATGAATTTATAATAGTTGATTTCAATATGTTATTGGGCATATTGTAATATAAAAGAAACTAGTTTAGTTTAAAATGGCATTTTCAACTATTTTTACGCAACACTCTTCGGAAATTCGTATTTCAATTTTGGAAATACGTACATGTGTGCATGCCGATATTGTTAACGAGTCGCACGGTTTTGATATTGGGAAAGCAGTATAGGAAGCATCGATGATGTAAAGAGTGGGTGACATTGTGGGCCGGGTGGTAGAGGAAGTTCATATAATTATGGTAGAATTAATGTGTGTTTATGTTCGTGGTCTTCCTTATTGATAGTGTGAATGATATTTAGCATTGTAATAAAGATTATTATCACAGGCAATGAAATCGAAACTCAATTGAAATGTTTATACCTGGTAACATAATATTTATCAAATTTGGTTAGAAATACCTATATAGTCATGCTTTATAAATCTTTACCAGGTTAAGAAATTAATTTTACGTGAGGAAATATACCAGGTGATTGTTTCAAAAGAGGAACTTTGTACAACAGAATTCCTAATTTATTAGTATCATAATCCCTTTATAAATGGTTAATTATGGCATATGACCTGAGCCCCTTCGACTTAACTAATGTATCACAATGTTTCATACAATTTAACTTCTTATTTTTATACAATTGATTGTGATTACTTTCTTTGATCTTTTTATGAAATTAAATCCTATATCAAATGGAATTAATAGCTGAAATATTGATCAATGAAGTTGATGGGAATATTGATTATAAAACTACCAATATGTCATTTTTCGTTATCTTATTACATTATAATTCAATTTAAATTAGAATATATTTTTTGTTATAATTTGTACATCTTTTTTCATGAAAGTGAATTCAAAATTTTGTTAGATAGTCTATTGTTGCCTATCAGTTTTACTTAATGGCATGAACGTCTTTATTGTAATTACCGTAGTATCAATTACAATTCAATGGAGAAGTACTCAAGTGGTTTTGGGTGGATTATACAACATTCAATATAGTAAATGTTTCATTCCTTGAGAGTTGCACGAAATAAAAAAAATTGGTTTTGACATGCTGTTCAAAACAAAATCAATACATTGTATCCTTTACTGCATATACCCTACCCTCTCTTGGGAAATACATCCTGAAACACCAGAAGTCCTTTATTGATGGCTTTTTTAATCCCTTGTGTCTCCTTTAATGAAGATACCTGATAGTCATTCGAATATTGTAGAAATATGGTGCATTGCACTAATGATTGTGTTCTGTGTTTGTTAACCTTCAACATGATTTCAGAATGTAAACTTTAAAAAGTTTATATTGGTCTAGGTATTTTTTTGTTTGGATAACCAATGTCAAAGCACTTTGAATTCCATTCAGACCAACTTCTTTTGACTCCCTAGTTCACAAAATAATTTATTTTCTTAAAATATCACAATTCCGTATTCTGTTTAGGCTTATATTTTTTTAAATTCCTAATAATAAAAAAAACTGTAAACGTAATCAAGTTTGTATTTCAATTTCAAGTTTATTCAGGAAAATATTTCTTATCATTTTAAACTCAAACTATTCAAAAATTACATTAATGGTTCACCATTCAATATAGCTAATATCATAATCATGTGCATTATGAAAATTTTGTTGGTATTTTCCAGCTTGTGGCCATTTGCTTCACGAAAGTTGCAGCCCGATTGGCATTCTGCCAGAATCTGCCTGATGAAATAGACACAAAAGTTACATGAGAATTGCACAATCTCTATGTTGTATAAACAAATGCAGAATACTGCTGTTCAAACAGATTCATGTAATGTTTAAATGTGATGGTTAATTGACTCATACTTCAGAAGTGCTTGTCAGGTGTTACTGCATTTGCTACTCATAGATTTAACTTCAGGAAACTGATTTGTGTGTTTTAGTGAACTTTGTTCGGTTTTATTTAAATCAGTCTGGTTTTGTCATCAATAACGACCTTTCAGAGTAAATTTTATAGGATGTGTTATGAGTAATGACAATGTTATAAGTTATAACTTTCAATGGTGAATTACACTCAATTAGATAGTAGGTAAATTATTTTCACCTAAATTAGGGCATCTACTAGGATATACGACATTGGAAACTTTATTAGCAGGCCTTAAATTAGTATTGCACTATATATTATTAACCCTATATTATTGAACTGAGAATGCACCATAAATCATATTAGTTCATTATACTGAGTATTTCAATGAGGAACCAGTCAGAACAAGATGTTCCATATTGGTAAACATTATTGTCTGTCAGATGTTTGCGATCATAATTTGAAAATTGATTGACACTACATATGGTTTCTATACTATTTTACTGACATGAACATGTGAAATTCTAGTTTTATATCTTTTGCTAGGTGAAGGGTTCAGAACTCAGTATTTCAATGAATGCTTAATAAATAGTTCCAAGTTCAAGAGTAGGACAGGATAGCAATGAATAGCAATGTTGGCAACACAGGGTATGCATCCCCGGTTTCATATATTCCCACCATATCACCCAGGGTGTAATAAATTGAGTTGAAAAATGGGGACTAGAAAGTCCCCCCCCCCCATTGAATTGAAGAATCGTACATATTAGTCTCTGTTTGCACAGATCCTTATTTCGAGTGATAGGTTTGAAAAAGCATCATATCCAAAAAGCTGTTTTCATCAATTATTTTTATTGCAACTCTATTAACCTATTGTCTACTACAAAACATTTTTTATAACCAATATGTCACAAGCAAATTTTATGGCCAGTAATACTTTCCTATTCATTTCACAGCTATACAATAAATTTTATTGCTTTTTAACAACCAGGTGCAGCTTCTGAGACAGACAAAAGTGTTTTTTCAAACATGATGAAGCCCATATTTCTTGCTAAAGTGCAAGACAATAAATCCCAAGACAGTGATGCAAATTCGAATGGGAGTTACAAGAATTGTAGGGAATTAAGCGAAGAAGAACATGCCATTCTTGCCAAGATAGAGGCCCAAAATAAGTGAGTTTATGTTTTTTATTTGGATATGTTTTTTAACCTGAACTCAGGTTGTGTACCAGGTTAGAGTTCAGGTTATGCGACATCTTGGTGCGCATACTTCAGGAGCACCTTATATTTTTATATTATATTTTTAGATCATAGAACTGCTACATTTTTAAATTTGCATTTTCATTTCGTTTTTTCTTTGTTGTTTTAAACATCCATACTTTCTGTTATTAATATAAGGACTCTAGCCAAAACACGGTTTACTAATAAGAGTATGCATTTTTTTCTTGTCCATTTATTCATAGTGAACACTAAGGAAGATCACCAAAATAGTACAATTCAAAAAATTTAAATACATTCTACCAGAAGGTTTTTGGATGATGAATATCAAATGTATTCTGAATTGAGTCTTATCATGATAGTTTACATAAATCAATACACTTTTATACAAGGTTAAATTTTGAAAAATAGAATAGATGTCGTAACTCATTGTTCGATTTGTTTCCCAATTTCCATTTGCATCCGAACCAAATGAAGCTTGTTTTGTCTAGCTGTTAGAATTTAGCTGGTGGTTTGACAATTTTACATATAAAAATATTCCATATTCATCTCAATGTTATGGATTATGATTAATCAAATTATTAAATATTTAATTTGCTATGGGCATTTTGAACATTTCTGGTTATGAGTAGTATGTATAATACACTCAATCATATTTTGAAGTTCATTATCAATTTTTCAAATCACAGCAAAAAACAGACATAAATTGCTAAATTGAAATCTGGCTTCACACCTTATTAAAGCATTCAATGTACCATAATATGTTTCTGAGATTTCTCATGAAATAAATCTCTCTATATTAAATTTTTTTCTTTACTTTTTTTTTTTTTTTTTTTTTTTTTTTTTTTTTTTTTTTTTTTTTTATTTTTTTTTTTTTTATTTTATTTATAAAAACAGTCAATATTATCAATATTAGTCAATCTTAAAAATGTACTATCAAAAGCTATGACATTACCGACTTTTCTAACAAGTTTTCAATTCTTCCATCCTCCAAAAAGCTATTTTTCATATTTGATGCCATATTTTTCAGCATCCCTCTAATTTTACATTTAAAAATTATTCTCATAACTGATTGGAAATTATCCAAATCTTCAAATATTATTTGATTCCTGAATTCCCAAATAGCTGCCTTTCCACATGCAACTATCATAATAACTGACAGGTCACATGTATTTTGTGCAATAATGGTATCAATATTATTTTCACTAAAATGCAACTCGCACCAATCCCAAAATATTTTAACATAATAGCATTCAAAAAATAGATGTTTACAGTCTTCAATGATATTAATATTGCACAACACACAGTGACCATCATCATATTCTGTCCAATGCCTTGTTCTATTTCCAGTAGGTAATGCCATATGAATTATTTTCCAACATAAAACTTGTACAATTTTAGATATTCCATGAACCCAAATGTTATTCCAATCAATATCAAATTCCAGTCCATAATATTCCTTAATTGATAAACCTTTTTGTTTTGTCACTTCCATTATCTTTTTACTTATAATTTGATTATACATATATTTCGTGGTTGGAAGTTTTTCAAATGAATATATTGAACTGGAATCTGTTTGAACATTACTTTGACTATTCAACACATTAGCCCATCCTGATGGTATGGCTTTTAAAATTTGTATAGAATCTTTTACTACTTTCCTATAACAAACAAGTTTTTTATTTTCACGCATACTACTCCATTTGTTTATGCCCCAAATTTTGATTGCTATTTCAAGACAGTCATATTGGAACAGATGGCCAAATGTTAAAATGTTTCCTCTTATCCAATTATTTATGAATTCTGGTTGATTCAACCATGTTAAGGCTGGATTCCACCATATGTATTGATCATATATTTGTTGTTTAGTGGTGATTTGTTTCGTTTTTACATCAAGTTCCTTGAATATGTTGACCGAATTTATATAAAACTTAGGAATGTTATTATTCCTTAAAATTTTCAAAGAGAGATGTAGTATTTCTAAATTTGTCACTGTTATTTTAGGATGGTATCTATTTATAAATTGTTTCGCTCTCTTTGCCCAAGGAGCCTCATCACTTTTTAATAATTTCCAAATCCATCTAACTTGTAGACTTTTAATCTGACTACACAGATCCATGGCCTTCAGACCTCCTTCAACTTTCCTTGCACAGCAGACTCTCCTCTCTACCGTGGGTTGTTTGTTGTTCCATACAAAATCCCATACTAGGGTCTCAATTGTTTTAATGATTTCATTTGGAATTGTTATTACAGCCGCAAGATACCACAATTTAGATAATAATAGACTTTTAGTAATCAGTATTCTCCCTTGCATGCTCATAGTTCGAGCTCTCCATATATTCACTACTCTTTTGATTTTTTCTATAATTGGATTCCAGTTTTGTTGCGTCGTGTCATTGTTGCCGATCCAGACACCAAGGACACATAAACTATCCCTTTTTAATGCTATACCTTGAAACTGTGTTTCATTTATCTTAAGACAATCTCCACATAACAATATTTGAGATTTTTCCTTATTTATCCTGGTACCTACAGCTATTTCAAATTTTTCGACTATTTTCAATGCCTCTCCAACTGATTTTAAATCTCTAACTGTTAATGTTGCATCATCCGCAAACCCTTTGTATTTTTCTTCATTCCCTGAAATGTTCTTAAAACCTATTATGTTGCTATTTACTCTAATATTAGTTGCAAAAACCTCCGCAACCATAGTGTATAAAAATGGGGACAGAGGACAGCCTTGTTTTAATCCACGTGTCATTTCAAAACTCTCTCCTACATATCCATTTGTTAATATTTTTGCTTTTGTATTAGTATATAAAATTCTTATATAATTGATAAAATTTGGACCTAAATTAAACTTCTTCATAACTTTAAAAAGGAATTCTCTATCAACAGTATCATAGGCTTTGGCCCAGTCTATTGAAAACACTACTAATTCTTTTCCAAATCTGTTAGCATAAAATATGTCGTCTCTAATACATGAGATGTTTTCATGTATAGAACGACCCTGAATAAAACCAGTCTGGTCACAGTGAATTATTTTTGGAAGTAAGTTTCTAATTCTGTTAGCTAAAATTTTTGCCAAAAGCTTATAATCAAAGTTTAACAGCGATATAGGTCGCCAATTATTCAGGTCATTTTTATTTCCTTTTTTATACAATAGGGTGATAATAGCTGTTTTCATTGACTCTGACATATGTCCTGATATTACTATTTTGTCAAAAACAATTTTCAATATACTTCCAAATATTTTCCAGAATTTCGCATAAAAATTTTTTGTAATACCATCTGAGCCCGGCGCTTTGTTTAATTTCATACCTTTGAATGCGTTTTCTAATTCTTCAAATTTAATTGGTTGTTCTATGTCCTCCTTATCTAATCTATCAACTTCTTTATTTAATTTCAAAATCAAATCATCTTGGGAATTTTCATCTAGATTTGGTGTTTTTGAGTATAATTTTTGGTAAAAAGATTGTTGTACTTTTTGTATGTTTCTCAAACCTCTCACAATCTCTCCACTTTCGTTTTTAATTTCTTGTATCAATTTCAATTTCCCTCGATACTTCTCCAAATTGAAGAAATACTTTGATGAGATTTCTCCCGATTCTGCCCACTGTATGCGTGCTCTTATAGCGTTTCCTTTTACTTGATTCGTTTGAAAATCTTTCAAATTTTGTTTTGCCTGCATTAACTTGTGACTTTTTTCTATATCGTATTGATCTTCCTCATATTTGAACAATGCTTCTTCATAAGTTTTTATTAATTGTTTTTCTATATTCCTATTTTCCTTAGCTAACTTTTCTCCACTATATATAGACCACTCCTTAATTTTTCTTTTACAATTTTCCCAAAATTTAAGAACATCAATTTCATGTCCTTCATTTAATTGCTTTAGCCATTTCTTTGATATAACTTCTACCCCTGTGACAAATAAATCATAATTTAATAAGTTGCTATTAAATTTCCAATAACCTTTCCCACGTTTGATATTCTCGCCTATATCTGTCCACATAAAGACAGGTAAGTGATCCGATAATGCTGCTGCAATTATTTCAACTTTTTCTACATTGACAGTATATAATCGCGAAAGATACCATCTGTCTATTCTGCTTTTGGATTGTTTTTGCCCGTTTCTGGTTGCTGGGCGATGAAATGAAAATTGTAAAAGGGATGAGTGCCTTTCACGCCAAATATCAATCAAATCCAATTTAGTAACAATATTTTGGAGCATTTTTTCACTTTTGGAATTATTATTTCTTCTACATTTGACGGAATCCCTATCCCTATCTTCCAAAATACAATTAAAATCACCACCACATATAAAATTGCATGTGTATGCATAATTTGAAGCTTTCAGGGTTTCTAGTTTTTCATATATAAGTTTGAACAACTTGACCCTTTGAGAATCAAGGTTTGGAGCATAAACGTTCACTACTATTGTTAAAAAACTATCGTATTCAAATGAACATATAATATATTGGCCATTTTCATCTATATCTATATTTCCTAAAGATATATCTAAATTTGAAGAAATCAAGATCCCTACCCCATTGCAGGTATTGGAATATTCAGTCCATAAACATTGACTACCCCACTCTTTTGACCATGATTCATTTTCAATTTTACTAGAACAGTGAGTCTCTTGCAGAAACACTATATTAGCTCCCCGTTTTTTCAAAAAAGTAAATATCGCCTCCCTTTTCGTCAAATCCCTTAGTCCATTAACATTATATGTTGCAAAACAAATACTAGACTTGAAATTAATTTCAAGTTGGTAAGGTTTATTGTCATAGTTTTGACTTACTTAGTCTGTATGTATATAACACAAAGAACTTCATTTCTCTGTTTCAGTTGATTCCTCACCAGATGTTGTTTTCTTTCTTTCTTTCTCACATCCTTTCAGCGGATCTGGACTCTCCCATTTGCGTCTTTTTCTAGCTACTGGTATCTTT